GGGAGAGAAGGATACTGCTTGGCATTATTTTTGCTGTCAGCCTTTACACAAAGGATTGAACAAACCTGTTGCTGAGAGAAGTGAGCAGTATTAACTTAGATTAATCAGCTGTGCTTGCCTGTATGATACAATTAAAGTTACACTTTGTGATTTCTCGTGGAATTGGGAACTTCCCTAAAAGAAAACAACTTCATTTGTAGCCATCCCAACTGCATTATCAGCTTTTAAATCTGCAGTTTGGAAGTACTGAATCATGGATGTTGTACTTTATGATGCTACTTCTGCTTATTATTTTTTTTTTTTTATATGCTCTGCTGGAGTTTAGGACTATTCTGTTGGGTTGAATATGATGGAAGAGTGTTGCTCTAGTCACATCACTTTATTCTGAAGAGTATTAAAAAAAAAAAACCACCAACCATCAAGACCAAGAAAGGTATGTCAGCATTTGCCTTCCATGTCTTGAAACCAGATGAGTTTAAGCCCTGACATGTATCAAACTCAACGTAGCGTTTGGGAGAATTTATCAGGGAATACAAAAGTTCTGCTCACCTTCGTACTGTTGTGACAACCTTGTGCCCAAACACTGTCCTTTTATTACAATTTGGAGAGTTTGACAGTGCCAAAGTACTTGTCATTTCTCAAGAATATGTCTACCATGGGAGAGGAACGGCAATGCTGTGTGACCATCTCTAGGAAGGGCTTAAATAATAGTTCCACAGGCAGCAGGCCCTCTTGCAGGATTGCATCTTGTCTTTCGGGGTAATGACTGAGCTGAATTATGCAACTCAGTTTCACCCACTTCCATTTTCTCTGATCTTCAGTTCATATTCCAGTTCTTACATTTTTTTTTTTTCAAACTTGCAAGCAAAATTGGTGCCTCTCCTGTCAACCCAACTATTACTATTTTTTTGATTACTCCCACCCCTCCCCCGATATTTTGGGCACTTATTTTCTGTTACATTACATGAATTCAAGCATGATTCTGAGTTCCTATTGCATGTAAAGTCCCTTAGCTCAACTCGTTGAAAATTTAGGGCTGGGACCTCCAAGCTTATTTTAAAATAAGAAAAACAAACAGAAATTCTTTTGTCGAATCCTGCAACTTTATTTCAAACTCCAGACAGCCATAACATGTGTTCTCCACAAATATAAGCCGCTTTCCCCAACTTTTGCCTGGGAAAACTCTTGCTCTTAAACTCGAATATAGAATTGTAGAATAGTTTGAAAGAACTTAATTTAAGCAGTCAGTCCTACAGGACTGAGCTCAGGTGAAACATCTGTTCCAGCTACACAGATGGTCTCTCTAAAGAAGAATTTAGTCCCTTCTCAGGAGTTCTAAGCAGTTTCCCCCCACATCCCCTGTTGTTTTGCTTCCTTTTAGGAAGGGCAGTGAGTGTTTACCAGAGGGGTCACAGGTGCCGGGCCCGAGGGAACGCCCTGGAAATCTCCAGAGACTTCCTGCCCTCGCACCGCGCCCCTCGCGGCGCCGCTCCCAAACTCGCGAGGAAGCCTCGCCTCGAGTTAAAACAGCTGATTTAACTTAAACTTAATTGAATTGAACTAAATTAAATTAAACTGGGGGTCTGTTCCCGCCGCGGCGCGAGCGCCTCTCCTCGCGAGAGGTCGCCCCCGGCAACGCCGCGGCCATGGCGGAGGCGGCCGGCTCTGAGGCGGCGTTCTGCCTGCAGAGTATCCTTCTTCCTCCCCAGTCTCTCCCCCTTCCTCCTCACTCTCCTTCTCCTCGGCTGGGGGTGCCGGTTCCCCTCCTCACGGGGTCCGTCTCCTCAGCGCTCCACCTGTCTCGGGCGGGGCGGCCCCGGCGGCTGCTGAGGAAGGGGGGGATGTCGGGCGGGGCGAGGGGAATGTAAGAGTAAGGGTCGGGGGGAACCCAAAAATCCCACCGCCTTGTTGGTTATTGTTCCTGGAAACTGAAAATGGGCTATATGTGTCCAGAGAAAGGCACTGGAGCTGGGGAAGGGGTTGGAGCACCGGGAGCGGCTGGGGGGGCTCAGGGGAGACCTTCTCGCTCTCTCCAACTCCCGACAGGAGGGAGGAGCCGGGCGAGGGTCGGGCTCTGGCCCACGGAACAAGGGACAGGAGGAGAGGGAACGGCCTGAAGTTGCGCCGGGGAGGTTTAGTTCGGATATTAGGGAAAATGTGGTCATTGCAGTGGTTGTCGAGCCCTGGCACAGGCTGCCATCCCTGGAGGTGTTAAAAAACCCGTGTGGAAGTGGCGCGTGAGGACGTGGTTTAGGTGATGAGTGTGGGTGTGGTGGCAGGTTAACAGTTGGACTGGATGGTCTTAGGGGACTTTTCCAACCTTAACGATTCAATGAATATGTGGGGTTTGGGGTTTTTACCCTGCAGAGGCAGTGGGGTCCTGCTCACTGTAACCTGGTGTTTGCTTTCCTGGCTGAAGCTCGAGGTCCCCGAGTGCCCTTTGGGAAAGCAGGAATTGCATCCTCTGCTGCTGATGGGGCAGCCGGAGCAAGGGTTAAATTCCTGACGTGAAAGGCTCTTGCCCCCTCTTTTGTGTTAGCTGCTGATCAGTGAACATAAAATACCTATGGAGGAGCAAAAGATTTGTTATTAAGACTGTCCCAATGTGCTCCTGGAAAAGGTGCTCTTTAATTTCCAAGTGCCTACCACAAAATAAGTGCCTGAATATTCATGTAGTTTGTACTGAGTATAACCAAGTTATAAGGGCTGTGATACAGTAACCTAGACACAACTTTGTTTGCTGTAGCTCTTAGAGCAAAAAAACCCCTGATTCTTACCACATTTGAGTTGTAGGAAGTTATCTTGGGAGTTTATGGCTTTCAAATGTGCAATTTTTTGGTCAGATGAGCCAAATTCTAGTTTTGCCAGATGAGCTTTATCTGTTCACTTTTCTAGCTGTGAGCTGCAAATCAAGAAGCTTTTTCAAGCTTTGTTTTAGAGGCTAAAGAATCCTGTTACACCCTGTTGTACGTTGTTTTTTCTTGCCTTGGTAAAATTAAGTTGTAAGCCAATATAAAGGTAACTTAAAAAAGTGGAGGAATGTCCTTTTCCAGCTTCTGCCTCAGTTTCTACTTCAGTGAAACAGCACAGCTGTTTTCAGTGTGGTGTTCTTAAAAATACACTGCCTTGGGACATGTGTTTAAAAGTAAGATTTGATATTCGTTGTTGCGAAATACAGTAGTTTTTAAAAGTAATTGCTCTGTTTTATAGTGCACCTAACTATAATATTTGAAAAAAAAAAAAAAGGTAAAAAACCCCAGGATTTTTAAAGTAATATTTTAGGCTGTGCACAGTGTTTGCAATGGCATATTAGTTTAGACTATAGTGGATTGCAAGGACAGTCAAGTCACTAAAAAATTCAGGGAAAAAACCCACAGAATTTGAGAGTTTTTTACTTATCAAGGGATCATGTCCTTCAGCTGTTCACCTTTGAGATGGATACAATTGAACTGATAGTTTCCTGATGCTGTGATCATGGGGTCTTCAATGCAGATGATAATTTGACATATATTTTGTATCTCTACATATATATTCAGATTTAAGGAACTTGGTGCAAAGCTGGAAAATCTTGTATCTTTTTTTTTTTTCCTCTGTGTGTGAAGTACTGAATTGCCAGCTTTTCTTTTCTTTGGAAGTTAATTCCTGGTTTATTTACATGGGTCACTCGTAGGCTGATTTCCTAGGGAAACTGTCAACAAACAGCATCCTGCTAAAAACATTTCACTGTGCTTTCACGGGCTGTGAGGCTAGTGGATGAAAAGATGTTTATTTGGGTTTTATTTTAGACTATTCATAGTTATTTTTTATGAAAAGTTTAACTCTAAAGCATTTGAAGGAACTGTAGATAATTTCCAAATGAATTTTTACGTTTTGAAAGGTCCTTGTAGATGTGTTGTGATTATTAAGACATTTGTATCACCTCTGGTAAATGGTTCTTTAGTGTTTGGTCTCAAGTGTTTGTGTTTGAACTTGTACATCTGAATTTGCTAAAAAGGCTGTTCTCTGAGAGCATGAAGTTAGTTATGCTGGGAAACATAAAGCCTGTGGCAGTCCCAGTGCAGCAAGACCCCTCTCAAAGCTGATGATTGAGTGAGAGCATAATTTAGCTGCTGTTTTAATTTGGAACAGTGCTTGGCTTTGGACTTTGGGAGATCTTGATGGGTCAAATTTTAATGACTTTCAAACCTGCTATAAGAACTTAAGCCTAAATTCTGTCTCTTTGCACACAGCTTTCTCTGGAGCTGGGCTTGTTCACCTCAAGGCTGAAAGAAGCCTTGAAAGTTGAAAGTCTTGTGTCGAAAAGAACAAGGGTGAAGGTGGTGAGAACAGCTTTAGAGATGGTTGGTTAGGATGGTTTTTTCTAAGTTGGAACTCATCACATGCATCAGCTGTTTCAGACTTAACAAAACCTGCAGGCGTTACCGTAACAGATGACTCTAAAGATGATTATCAGTGTGAAGAGGTAACTTATACATTGATGATGTTCTGATATGTTTGGTATTCGTGTATCACTGTTTTGTTTTACTTCATCAGTCACGTAAACATCCTGGGAGAAATGACCCAAATCTCCTTTCATGTGGTGATGGTAGGCATGCACTCATTTTTCAAGGGAAGATTTAGTGTTGGTTGATTTGTTAGGTAAAACTTTTATTTGAACATTAAATTATTTTTTTTTAAAGATACAGATATTTCTATTTAGATATTTCAGATAATTTATAATGAATATTTCAGTAATATATATTCTATTTAAATGTGGCAAAGTGGTATTTTAACAAAAAAGGGATTATTTTCAGCACTTGTACTGGGAGTGGGAACAGTGGTACTGTGAAAGAAAGATGTATAAAATATGTTAATACCAAATTTTACATAATTTCATTTAGGTTTCTGCAGATGATGAATTTAGTCTTCAGGAGGAGGATGAGGATCTGTCCAAGGCTTTACAGGCTATTCAAGAGCAGGCTGAAGATGCTGAAACTTTAGTAAGAACTTCCTAAACCTTTTTAGAGTCTGTAATTCAGTTTGCATTAGTGGCTTGAAATGTACACATCATAATTTATATGAGTTGTTAAATATTTGTGTGGGAAAGACTGTCTCTTATTCGTTTATAAGTTTCTAGGAGTAAACCTATGCCAGGGTGGAAAAGACAAGTTTCCTGGGTTTCATCTTCATTTAATTTCTGTTCATTTTATGTTCCATAAATAACCCGATATTGCAAATATATAGATGGGTTATTTAAAAGATATTAATCTTATTACAGTGCATCAGCATTTTAGGGTTTGTTTTTTATCTGAGTAGACTGAATGACAGTGTCATCCCTGGCACAGAAAAGAAACTGCATATGCTTAAGACCCACAAAAGGTGCTACTTGAATACTTTGCTAAAAGGGGTTATTCATATATTAAAAACAATGAATTGTTGCACTTAAATCAAAATATTAATTATCTGTCATTTCACACCATTATTTTTTGACATTCCTTACATTTACAGTTTGATTTCAAAGCACTCATGTCACAGTTTAGAGCTACACAGTGGGATTTATATATTGCATTTTTCAAAATATGATTTACCTGGATTTACTAGATTATAACAATCTAATGGAAAAGTGCTTTTCCCTGCTGTGTTTCTAATATCACCACTGTCTTGTAACCTCATCAGAAAGGTACAGTCATAGTCTTTGTTTTGCAAAAGTAAATGATTAATAGAGAAAAGATCAAAGGATGTGAATGATTCTTAACATCAAAATGGAGGGGAAAATGTGCATTTTCTTCTGCATTAGTGCATATCAACAGATCAGTTTTGTATTTTAGATTAAAGTTGGAAAGGAAACTGGCAATACCAGAATTTTATGTGCATGGAAACTGAATATGCCTGAAATGAATGGAAATATGGCAGAAGTGTTTGAGACTGAACATACTTAATGTTAAGGAAGTAGGGGAAATTTGTGTTCTTTAGGGATAACTGAGGCTATGGTTGTTTTACTGTGTGAGTTAAAATAGAAAGTGAAAAGAAAGGAAGAAGATTTTTAACCTATTGATCTTTTGACAGTGGTATATTTAAATCATCTTTTACCTCTTCATTGATTTGTTGAACCAGAGTGGGAAGAAGCAGTATGTTCATGTATATCCCATTTAATCAAACTGGAGAAACTGTTAATCTTTCCTCAAAATCTCTGAAGAATGTGTGTGCTCAGACCCAAATTCCCTTTTATTTTGAGTTTATGCTAATAGATGTCTGCATTCTTGCTGCTTGACTTGTTATTTGGAGGCCTCATTTTTTCCATAATCTTGAAACTGGAATAATATTTTCAGCCTTTGGAGAGAAAGACGTGAACAGAAAAATGTTCTAATACACTTGCTAGTTCCTTGACAGCTTTCATAACGATTTACTGTATATTTTGTGGGGCTCAGTGACTGGGTTGTTTGATATTAATTCACTTGAAAAACCAAATGCTGCAGCAAATGCTTTTGGTGACCTGAGTTAGAAGCACTGTCTTCTGTGAATGAATATTGAATCAACATCCAAACACTGAGCTAAGAAGCACAGCAGGAGGCTGTCTTCTTCACAGTATAAATAAACATGGTACATTTTTTCAGTTATAAGCTTGTAATTTTGGCCAAAAAATAGGTGAAATTATTTAAGAACCATATCCTGGAATAACTACTCTGATAGTTTTAAGTGATTGTGTATATTTGCTGTTCATATTAACTTATATGTGTAATCCCATATTAAAGATTGCATTTCAATGCCAGATGCAAATCTTGGGTGAAGAAATTATATAGAGAAGGCACAGATCAAGTGACCATCAAAAAATATTTAATATTTGATATTTTCCAACTGCAGATACTAAAAATATCCACAGTTTCTAAACCGAGTAACTACAGTTTCTTTTATGCTCTATAAAAAGGTCAAGTATAACAGGGAAAATCTGAGAAAAAGTTCCTTCTAAGGTAATCAGCACTGCTTACTAAATGAAGAAGAGCAAACAAAGCAAATGAGAGATGGTGCTGTTCACCTTCAGCAAGAATAAAACTGGTGTCTAGGCATTAAAGCTGGTTTTCTGCAGGGGGTACTGAAGCATGTTTTCTTTCCTTCTGGGTCTCTGCATGGCCGTGGGGAAACTACTGGTCTTTAAGGACTTTGGTGAGGCTCCCTTGGCAGCTGGTTCATGTTTTTGTTTGGATCCCAACAGGGAAATGAGGGTG